ATAGTTTGAATATTTTGCTAGGCCGATGTTGTGCAAATTTCAGAAAAAAACTACATTCACCGAGTGATAAACAGGACAAATTGTCCATTAAAGCACTTTGCCATTAAATGACAGCTGTTGGGTGAATCCTGTTTGATGAAATGTCCACATGGGTGAACATTGTATGATGTTATTTTTGATGAGCGAATCTTTTAAAATGGGTGAAAACCATCGTGATAAAGGGAATGTGGAAATCAAATCTTGATTAAAAAATAATAATAAAGAGCAAATGTAGGGTGAATTTCTTGCAGAATCATTGATAAACACAGCCCGAGGTGAACTTAGTCCCTTTTCTCAGTTTCCCTCTGCCCTAAAGGAGAACTATGGGGTCAGTGCTTTTCCCCACAGTTATCCTAATGGTAACGGGAGGACACAAACTAGTGTCATCACGTCACCCAAAGCTCAGTATACCGCAAGCTACAGCTCCCTACAGCTCCCTACATACTGAGACGCCGCAGCTGAAACGGATCCCGACATTGCGGTCTGGATCCACCCAGCTGCGTGAGTGACAGCTGGTTCTGTCTATCTAGAGGAGGAGCCAGATGTACCCGCCCCCCTGTAATGCAGCTGGTATGACTGTAATGGATGGCGTGGATCTCAGCTTCAGAGGACTATATATTTATATATAGTCCTCTGAAGCTGAGATCCACGCCTATATATATATGATATGAAGTAAAAGTTCCCTTAGGATGGGCAGGAAGCAGTTAATTTGGAAGACCCAGGTGATATTTAGAATACAAGTGACTTTATTTAGCATAGGCTATATACCGTCAAGATTTGGGAGCAAATGGTAATGACTGACAAGATCTGGAAGTTCACAGTCTTATGCTCTATGCAAATGACAGTTCACATTGGTATACACTATGCAATAACAGTTCACAGTAATCTTATGTATTAGTGCAGGGGTCAGCAACCTGCGGCTCCGGAGCCGCATGTGGCTCTTTCATCCCTCTGCTGCGGCTCCCTGTCCAGGGGCGGAACTACCCCTGCCGCCTCGTGGGCCTGAGGCTGCGGAGGGGTCCAGTCAGGTCCTGAGCACTCCCCCTGGTGGAATATGCGGCAGTGCAGGGCCCCGCACTGCCGCTGGGCTTCTCAGTAAGGGGGCGGGTCCTGTGACTCGCCTCCTCTCCCGGCCGCGTCCCTAGTAACAGGCGGAGGGAGAGAAGTGTGTGTCACATGCCCCTCCCCCTGTAGTGCACACCATCTGGCTGGGATGCTGGCTGTGAGGCTTGGCAATGAGGAGCGGGGGAGTGCGTTACTAAGACCAGAGTCCAGTGTGTTAATAAGCCCAGAGTCCAGTGCGTTACTAAGCCCACATATACCTATATAAATAGCATAAAGGTAAAAAACGATATATGCAGTGTTATCTTCAATTTAGATGTCAAAAGGGTTTTGTGGCTCCCGGTGTTTAAATTTTTTGTTGGAAACGGGTCCAAATGGCTCTTTGAGTGTTTAAGGTTGATGACCCTTGTATTAGTGTAAGATACTTGCGGTGAGTAGATCTGGGGTGTGTTGCTGCCACCCTGTGGCCTCGGTAGTGAAGTGCGGGTCGTCCCTGTGTTGATGGCAGAGGAGAGGAGATCTCTCTGCTGAGGAGGTTGGATGAGGGCAGAGCTGTGGAGGGCTGAGACAGCCTTGAAGGAGGGGCTCTGTCCGGCCCAAAGAAGCGACAGCAAGATGGGCCTCTGTCCGGCCCAAAGAAGCGACAGCGAGATGGGGCTCTGTCCGGCCCAATAGTGCGGTCTGCTGCGGGGGGAGATTGCCTGGTGTCAGGCTCCTAGCACGAACGCCAAGCAATTGACCCCGCTGCTTTAAATAGGACCAGAGGGAGGAGTCCGGTGAGGTCACTGTTCGTGACGTCATCCGAGCTCCGATGGACCCGCTCATGTTGCCGGAAGCAGGCTACGAGGTAATAACGTCACACCCACTCTCCCATCCGTTCCGCCAGTCAGCGCTGGAGGATCGGACGGGGGGGGGGGTAGTGAGCGAGCGACGGTGTGTGTTCGCTCACTTCCCGATCTACTGAGCCGACCTGTCACAGTTTCATTGTCACAGGTCGGCTCCAATTATGACGCTGAGTGAAAATCACTCGCCTCATAATTCTCCTTTAATTTACACTGTTCCATGTGCATTCACCACACATGGTAAAATACACACATACCCTGTTTCCCCGAAAATAAGACCTACCCTGAAAATAAGACCTAGTTGTGACCATTCCCAGGGCCGGTGGTGGCATAAGGGGGAACTTGAAGAGCCGCAGGAGAGAATCAGAAGTGCCAAAGAAGCCAGCGCTAGAGGAAGCAAGGAGGCAGCAGAGGGAGCAGAGCCGCATAAGCCAATGCTTCCTCTATAGCGCCGGCTCCTGTCACAGGCGGAGCGATACCAAATGCCTGTGAGGAATCCATAGTGAAAGCGCGCTTCGCTCATTCTGGTTACCAAATTGCTCTTGGAGAGATACGGCACCCCTGATTGCCTTGATCACCCAATTCTTAACTTTGCCATTTTGGATTATTTAATTTGGATTTGCACTAACTTTGGATTGTTGTACATTAAAACAAAATAAGACCTCCCCCAAAAATAAGACCTAGTGTGTTTTTTTGAGCCACAAAAAATATAAGACAGTGTCTTATTTTCGGGGAAACACGGTAGGTGTGAACAAGCCAATAGCATTTCACTTTGTCTTTCACACTTAACTGCACCACCGCACACTAAACCATCCACATAGGAAAGAATGAGATTTCTACTGGACATGCAGGCATCGAAGCAGACAAGGGTGAATAGACACTCAATAAATGATAATATCTGAGATGATTTAGGATAACTCAGATGAACGTTAATGAATAGCGGAGGGACCTAAAGACAAATCACCTCTGGTTCACATCTGAGGGAGTAACCTTCCCATGGGGTAACTTCACTTTATAAATAATGTTCAGTCAGGAGATATTCCCGTGCCGTACCGATACGTAATCAGACCTGCGTATATTGCACCGTCCTGATCCAACCACTTAACATTGCTCCTAATGATGAATAACAGATTTTTGCTTTTCCCATTTTTGTGTTATTTGAACTCATGACTTTATCATTTTTTTAGGTATAATATTACATTAGAAGAATGTGCAACAAATGTACCGCGGTGACTCATGAAATACGTTACCTAATCCATCATCTGTATGTGTGTATTTACATTTTATGCTAAACTCCCAGACTGGTATTCCAATTGTACCTAAACCTAAAATGTAATACATTGCACCTTACCGGTTCCTGATACGTGGTGGCTGCTTTTTGCCTTTTTTCATGCTTCTTTCTTTGTATTTTTAGCCATTGAACCAGCCAGTAACACACTTTGCTGTCTGAGGGTGAATTCTCAATCACTCCATTGTTTCTATGGAGAAAGTCATGGTTGCCACCCAGGCTGGACTACACATCTGGCTCTCTTACTGTCCATAACATGGGGGTAGTCAGTGGTTTACAGAAGTAAAATAGCATTGCTTGTGCTTTACAGTTCAGCTCATAGACAGCGACAAGGACACGGCACTGGGAATTTTCTGTACTTGCTGAAAATGTACTTAACCTGAAAAATAAAGCCACCGCATCTAAGGGCTGGTAAGATAGACTAATCCAGGACACTAAGTTCAATCAAATACGCACCAGCAGATTTTTTGCCACCTGGACATCTTTTATTGCGGCTGAACTAACCTTGGAACAGCTGCAAGACCTGATGTCCATTTTCCGTTTCTCCAAATGGTACCTTGAAGCGAAATTAACAAACTCCCTGGGCCCTTTAGATGTCCTTTGAATCATGGTTCCTTCCTTTCAACCTGTTCATTCGCATATTTCTTCCCATAATCTCATGGTATATATATATGAACACCTAAGCCACGATGTCTCCCACGAATACCTAAATGGTGATGAGGTTGTCCACCAGCCAGATCTTGATTATTTTGGCTCCCTCATTAGGGAATTAATATGGCTATGACACAAGGGGGGTGATTTACTAACCTAAATACACGCACGCACCAGGTGCGTGTGATTTTCACACAGCAAAACGTATTTATCAACCAAAAAGTCTCTAAAAGCATATTTCCACTAATGCCATATATGGAAAAATCATGCACATGATGCATATATAATGCTGCTTCACAGTTTAGACAAAAATGGTTAGCTCATGCATTTACATTCCTGCATTCATCAACGCAAGCAACACAACATAGAGCTAATTTACACAACATCACCTTGCAATTCATGCAGGGCTTTGCACAACACACCTGCTGGGTGTGTACACACTACAAAGGTGTTTAGATTCCACCCATAGATCATGCTGGGAGGGAACACACTACAGAGGTGTATACATGTTTGTGGTGTGTTTATAAGGTTAGTAAATCAACCCCCAGTTCTCTAATATGGTGTTATGGTTTGTTTTGAGTTACCTTTGATATGTATTGATATGCAACTTCTTCAGGTGCAGTCTGCGTACTGATACCTAAGTCTTGATAACTGCCAAACACCGCATATGTATGTATTTTCTGATGCTTAATAAAAATTGACATGCTTAAAAAAAAAGATAGACTAATCCAATAATTTTATTATTCTACAGGGGAGGTGGCACCATCCTATATCTTTGTAATGTCCTTGGCAACAGTGGAGTTTTTTTCTAGAGACGTCAGATCACCTGCCCTTGATTATTAGGTATCGGCTCCATTGTGAGTTCTTTTGTATAAATCACACTCATATTTTTTAATTATTTACTGCTTCTGGAAGGTTATTGATTGATCATCGGTATGGTTTGTGGTTTGGTATGTTTTTTACAAGAAAAACATTATTGCAGGATAATGAATCTCTGAATTAATTTCCTTTTTCAAGTGCGTTAAATTGCTTTGTATCCACATCCTGTGAAGATGATTACTCCACAGTAGTTCGATATTGAATACCGTAATCTGGAACAATTCTTTGTATTCACCTGAATGTCTTGGATGGGAATTGAGATTCATTCGAACATCACAGAATTCCTCCTACTTGGTTTCTCAGATTTCTCTCCCGTATCTCAATCCTCCATTATGGCGTTTTTTGTTTTCTCCTACATCTGTTCAGTACTTGGCAATGGGCTCATTATTGTGCTAGCCACAGCTGAGCCCCATCTTGACACTCCCATGTATTTCTTCCTGCGGAACCTCTCCTTCATTGAACTGTGCACCACCAATGTAGTTGTCCCCAAGGTTCTGGAGAACTTATGGTCTGGGAAAAAGTCCATCTCATTCCTGGGCTGTGCTGCACAGATGTCTGTGTTCTTTACCTTTGCTGTGTCAGAATGTGTTTTTCTTATGATGATGGCCTTTGACCGCTACATGGCCATCTGTTGCCCATTAAGATACACATCTGTTATGAATACAGGGATGTGTTATAAGTTGACCACTGGTTCATGGGTGGTTGGATCTCTGGTGTATTTTAGCCAGACCTGGTACATCTTTAGCTTGCCATATTGTAATTCTAATCATATTGTTCATTTTTTCTGTGACTTTCCCCCTGTTTTGACTCTGGCCTGTGCAGATACATTCATCATTAAACTATCTGTCTCTATTGCTTGTATCTGTGGGGCGGCTCTCCCTCTTCTCGTTATTTTCTGTTCTTACATAAAAATCTTGTACTCTGTACTCTTCATACGCTCTATGGAAGGCCGGCACAAAGCTCTGTCTACTTGTGGTGCCCACCTTGTGTCGGTAGTTCTTTACTATGGTACCGCCATGTTTATGTATCTGCGTTTAGGGACCAGCGGTCCAGGTGCAAATGACCGAATGATTGCACTGTTCTATTGTATCATAATCCCTACAGTAAACCCGTTGATCTACAGTCTGAGGAACAAAGACATGAAGACCGCACTAGGAAAACATTTCAAATTATTTCCATTGTCACCTGGAATTAAAAGGTTACATAAATAATCAAATCTTGCATGAGAATTTGATTGACTATATTTGTTCTGACATCAGGGTAATTTGTTATCTTTTTAATAATAATTAATATTTTACTTTTTCTGACTTCTTATTTCTCTAAACAAACTACAGTATAGAAGGCCAAACTTCTGCTTCAGCAGCAGAACCAACCACATATAGAACCAGGAAGAAAATGTATAATGTTTTTGTTAAGTCAAGGAAGACCAAACTCCTCAAATCTCACATCTTGCTAACAATTTGTTTTATATAGATATTTTTTCCACATTAAGATGTTTATTCACAAAGCTTCCGAAGGCAGCTGTGTGAATAACCGACCCGAAGTAAAGTAAGCCGAATGCTGTTTCAGCTATTCACTTTGGGCTTGTACAGTTGATTTCAGCCGTACACCGAGTGAAATCAGCCATACATCAGCTTGCGTCGGCTGGCTGCGGGTCGGCCGAACATGCTCTGCATGTTCGGCTGAACCGCAGTGCAGTAGGAGTTCGACTCACCAACGTCTGGATCAGCTGAGCCGAACCTCCGGCAGCCTACTCGCTGCAGTTCGGCCTATTCTTTTAGGGGCCGAACAGCAGTGAGTGAATAGCCGAATGCCGCTCTGCTCGGTTATTCTGTTAGGAACCTCCGTGGTACCGAGCAGAATAGAAAAACAGTGAAAAAAGTTGAACAAAAAGTAGAACATAATTGGGGGGAGCTAGCAGTGACAGCTAGCTCCACCCCTCTGTTTCCTATTGGTCGTGACCTGCTAGAGCACGTTCTGGCTAATGAATAACAACTGGGCTGAGCTGGCAGTGACGTCACGGCCGGCTCCACCGAGTTCTCATTGTGTAACACCATGCTGTCATTAGTTCCGCATGTCCTGGTTACCTGGTAACCTGGTAACCTGGTAACCAGGGGATACTGACCTGTCATTGCAATGGGCTGGAGCCAGTCGTGAGATCATGGCTGGCTCCACCCAGCTGTCAGTTGCAAGGCTTTCGGCAGGCCAATGGCCCGCTCTGGGTTTCACCTCGGCTCAGTCGAGCCAAAGCATATGCCTTCGGCTCAACTGAGCCGTGTGGCCAACTTTGGGAGCTGTAGTGAAAAGCCCGTACAGCAGCCCGAAGGGCTCTGACGGCCGAAGCTAGCCGAAGGATCAGCCGCAGCTACGGCTGATCCTTCGGCTAGCTTTTGTGTATAACCCTCTAATAGTATATGTTTGTGTCCCTAGGAAAGATATTTACCTTCTCTATTGGTGGCCGTTGTCACCAGGACTTAAAGTAAGAGGAACGTTTGAGTTGCCACAAGAACAGGAAAAGACCAACGGCGATACCTAAAATATTTTCCTCTTGCTTTGGAGATATTTACTTCTTTTTGTGCCGACAGGACAGGAAGTGATGTGTACTCCTCCAGTGGAAGACCATTGTGGGAGTATCGTATCATTGTTTAAAAAATAGAGAGACGATACAGAGAAATCTGTAAGGGCCACAGGCCAGTATGGGAGAGACCACAATATGCCATCCAAATGTGTAAGTGATATAAATGTTTTTTGAGCAAGACACCAAAAAAAAAGTAGATCTCCATTCCATGTGAATTGACCCAATCCAGGTTGAATCTTGATTTTAAAAAACATTTTAATCCATTATTATTATTATTAATAATATTAAACATTATCAGTGTACACCGGGGTGATGAAATAAGACTGTTATTATATGTACTGTACATTATGTACTCAATGTCATTCTATGATGTTGGATTTCATAGTCTTACATTTTTCTGTATCACATTTCTGATTTAGTTTAATTTTGAATGAAATTCAGATGGATCTGAATTTTTTTTTTAAAAGACCATTCGGATATCCATTTGCAATGAAACAATATATGTCTTATTATCAGTGTATACCGGAGTGATGACATAAGATAATATTATATGTAGATTTAATACTCAGTATCATTCTATGATGTTGGATTTCTCTTTTCTCATTTTTCCTGTAAGCTGAATTTTCTTTATCTGGGGAATCAAATATTTATCTTTAATAATTGTAGAAACAATTCTGTGTTTCTGAGGGACAGCGATCTGTGAAATACACACGGGACATTTATATTTTGTGGGACCAATTTATTCCAAATCCCTGACTGACATCACAGGAGCTGAAGATATATAAGCTCTGCAGTTCTGAGGCTGGCAGACTGCCTTCTAAATTGCCCGTTATCTGCCACAACCAGAGAAAGATATTTGTTGCTTTATGAAGGATTGATCTGTTGTATTTGATGTCATTTATTCATTTCTTATATTTTAATTTCAACCCTTTATATCTTAATAAAAAAAAGCTAATCCGTTTCCTCTGAAGGTGAAGTATTGGTGCCTCTGCACAGGGCCATCCAAGCTTCTATAATGGGCCATAATCATGGTTTCATTAGGCAGCAGAGAACAATAGAAATAAATACAATGTACATGATACATTGTACATATGCACCTGCCATAATCTTATGGATCTGTTTATAAAAAGCACAAACAGATATATTGCATTTGCTTGATAAAAAAGATTGATTTTGACCTGGATTAGTCAACTTGACTTCTTTATCTATCATCATAAAATAATGCAATAAATTAATGATATCTGGATACAAAATGCAACATGACATCATTTCATTATTTACAAATACTGCACCAGCCATCACACTGTAGGGAAAATGAAGTCATAATTAATATTTTGCCTTTTGAATGCTTAAATAATGCTCCTGAAGGGTGTGCAATTTATGAAGTGGAAATGCACTTTACGCACAATTAGTGAGAAACTTTTTTTTTTCCAAACACAAGCAAATCCAATCCTGTTTTACAGTACAGTACTCTACACAATAAAGCATTTTTTGTCTGAGAATATAGTTCTGCTTGAACCCATCAGCACCCTGTCAGTAGCCACAAAGCAACACAAACCTAATTCCTGAAACTCCCATATTTGCCTAAAGTGTCCCATGCCAATTCCTTGCGTTGGCCTCCTCAAGATTTCACAGTACTGATATCCTGGTGACAAAATACAATTTGCTATTTATTGTGGCTAATGAATAACATTCAATTGATGAATCATTAGTATAAGTTAGCACTAGAACTCCCATTGATATCTATCTAAACACTGATAACAACATTTGCATAGCTTGGCTTCACCTACTTGTACCTACCATTATGATGTTTTTCTGCTCTCACTTAATTTTCATAAATTCTATAATATATACAGCCCACCACCGTCCACCTATAACTACAATATCAAGCAAAGGTTGGCCTAGCTTATAATGCATAATTAAAAGAGGAAACAATAATATTCAAATGAAAAAAAAACATTATAAAACTGTACACACAATATCCAAACATATGATCTGATTCTACATTATAAAAGATAAGATGAAGTCGAGTCTTCAACAGTTGTCGGACGCTGAAAACAAGTCTTCTATCAGTAAAGTTTTCATTGTTGGGTTCAGAATTTCCCTCAGCTACAGAGTTTGTCTCTTCCTCATGTTCTTACTCATCTACATCCTGACTCTATCCTGCAATCTTTTGATCATCTTGTTGATGTTCTTCTCTAAACTTTCTCATTCTCCGATGTATGTTCTCCTCTCCAATCTGTCGCTGTCAGAGATCTTGTTCACCAGCAACATCGCTCCCCCCATGCTCCATGTAATATACACAGATGGTGCGATGTTTTCTCTTGTCGGATGTTTTATACAGTTTTATTTATTCGGGGCATTTGCTGTGGCAGAAAGTTTCCTCCTCTCAGCGATGTCCTATGACAGATTTTTGGCGATCTGCAAACCTCTTAATTACAGCTTAATCATGAGCCCCAGGCTGTGTCTTTCTCTGATCCTTGTCTGCTGGGCTTCGGCTTTTTCTATTATGTCCATCTCTATAAGTTTCTTGAAAACTTTGAGCTTTTGCAGCTCAAATATCATTGACCATTTCTTCTGTGACTTTGTTCCTTTGCTGAAGCTGTCTTGTTCCGACACGTCCACTGTTGAAATTGTTGTGTCTTTGCTTTCATCATCAGCAACCATGTTCCCATGCCTCATTATTGTTGCTTCTTATGGGTTTATCATCCGAGCAATTGCCAGGATTTCATCAGCAAAGAGGAAGAAGAAAACTTTCTCCACCTGTAGTGCCCACCTGGGAGTCGTGTCCACATATTACATCACCATGATTATGGTCTATGTGGTTCCATCTGGACATTTATTGATTGCAAACAAAGTTCTATCTCTGCCCTATACAGTGATCACCCCACTATTGAATCCCTTCATTTATACACTAAGGAACCAAGAGATCAAGAATGCAATAAGACAAACTTTGACCTCTATCAGGAGAAACTAAATCTTCAAAATATGTCTTGATCGTTGTGACACAGAAAAGGAAGAAGAAACACAATGTTGAATTGAAGCTCCTAAATAATTATTGTTGATCAATTTATAAATATCCACAAAATATCAAAATTCTGTTCATAATTACACAACAAATGAACTGTGCATTTATAGAAAACATGAAAAAAAATCAAAAAGGATCAATATTTATATATTCAAAATCATTCACAACGGCAATATTTTATTTACCCATATCTACTTCACACTCAAATGATTAAGTTGTACATTTCAAATTACTTAAAGGACAACTATGAGGTGAGTGATTTTCACTCAACCTCATAGTTCGAGCCGACCTGTGACAATGAGACTGTCACACGTCGGGTCAATAGATCGTAAAATGAGTGAACGCATACCGTCGCTCGCTCACTTCTCGATCATCTCCCTGCAGAGAGCGGTGACTGTCACTCACGGCTCCCTGCAGGGATTCCCCCCCTCCCCTCTTCGATCCTCCAGCGCTAACTGGCAGAACGGACGGGGGAGGGGGGCGGGTACAGCTGGTTCTGCCTCTACATAGGCAGAGCCAGCTGTCACTTACGCAGCTGGGTGAATCTTGACAGTAATGTCGGGAGCCATCCCGGCTGCAGTGGTCTGTAGCCTGCTATATACTGA